TACACAATACGTTGTTAGAGACCTGACTTCTCATTTGTCTTTCTTTAACTCAAATTTGTTTGATGATGTTTTTATTGGTTAATGTATGAAATGCACACATGTTCTGAGAGTGAGAGAAGAACGCTGTGCATATTTTATTGAATACTATTTATATATATATATGACGTAATTGTTTGTCAAAAGGAATGAGATATGTGTGTGTTCTAGATAAATTATATTGTATTTAAAAATAAAATAAACTCGATATGAATGAGCTTTGTTATGAAAATTAGAAACTTTTATAGACGCGTATGAATCATTTACAAATTAAACAATTTCTACTACCCTTACTGTAATGGAAAAATTAATGGCGGAGTGCCATTGGCAATTTTCAATTTCGTGAAAAATGTCTTTGGCTTAATAAGAGGCCGTGAAATCTTATACAATACACCCATAATCCTTCATTAAATACAGTAATTAAATAATTAAAATTCTTCTTTTATTCGAGAGAGATTGGAAATATATATTACTTTTTAAAGAGAATATACCTATTTTCTTATGTTATGACAAAATCAATTTTAACTGCATAGAGACTCCTCGTACTAAATCGATAAAAAAAATCCCATTGCAGTAAAGGCAGTAGAAATTGTTTAATTTGTAAAAGAATCATACGCGTCTATAATAGTTTCGAATTTTCTTAATATACTTGTAATTATCTTTTTTTTAATGTAAATATTTTGAACCCAGATGTGTGTGTGAGAGAGAGGTTTTAAGAATGGATAAAATAAGATGCGCGAATTTACCAATCAATATAATTCGAAGATTATTTATATTTGTGCATCAAAATCTCTTGAAAGCATTAATAGTATGAATTACGATTTGTATTATTAAGCTTGTCAAGGTAACATAATACTATAAATGCAGATCAAGCGTAATTTTAAAACATATTTATTAATTGCTTTTTATATAGTAATATTTAGTAATATTTTTCAAAAGGGCAAAATATTGGAATCAGTTTTTCATATATAGAAATATCGTAATATTTATTTTTAAGTGTATATAAAAATTATAAATTCATGATACTACCCTATTTATTGTCCAGCGAAATTTTCGAATATTTAAAGAAAAGCTTAAATTAAGCAGCCATTTAGGGACTTGATACAACATGGCTTTTTAATACATGTTCTCAGGTTACACAGGTTCATTAAAAGATCGCTTAGTCGTTACCGCATATATTAGATTCCCACTTTACACAGCAAAATAAATATTAGGTAACCCATATAACGCTGTCTTTACCGCAAAGAAAGAGGCCCATGCTTTACCCAGGTTCAAGTCGCATACTTAGTGATCGTATTGACCTCTCATACCTTAACATTTGTGGCGTCCCCGGGTGGGCTGCGTGGGCTGGTCAAGCAGAGGAAGTATTAGCCTGCCGAGTAGCAGAGGAAGTATTAGCCTGCCGAGTAGCAGAGGAAGTATTAGCCTGCCGAGTAGCAGAGGAAGTATTAGCCTGCCGAGTAGCAGAGGAAGTATTGGAGCCTGCCGAGTAGCAGAGGAAGTATTAGCCTGCCGAGTAGCAGAGGAAGTATTAGCCTGCCGAGTAGCAGAGGAAGTATTAGCCTGCCGAGTAGCAGAGGAAGTATTAGCCTGCCGAGTAGCAGAGGAAGTATTAGCCTGCCGAGTAGTAGAGTTTCAAGTCTCATACTTAGTAACAACGGGACCTCGTGGCCTTTTAGTGGCATTTAACAGGTTCTAATCAGATACTAGGTAATTACGGAACTACGTGGACATAGAGGCATATACCAGGCTCAAATCACATACTATGTAACCACGGAACTACGTGGACATAGCGGCATATACCAGGCTCAAATCACATACTATGTAACCACGGAACTACGTGGACATAGCGGCATATACCAGGCTCAAATCACATACTATGTAACCACGGAACTACGTGGACATAGCGGCATATACCAGGCTCAAATCACATACTATGTAACCAGGGAACTACGTGGACATAGAGGCATATACCAGGCTCAAATCACATACTATGTAACCACGGAACTACGTGGACATAGCGGCATATACCAGGCTCAAATCACATACTATGTAACCACGGAACTACGTGGACATAGCGGCATATACCAGGCTCAAATCACATACTATGTAACCACGGAACTACGTGGACATAGCGGCATATACCAGGCTCAAATCACATTCTATGTAACCACGGGACTACGTAGATTTAGCGGCATATAAAGGTTCTGATCAGATACTATATAACCACGGGACCACGTGGTCTTAATTGCATATTTACTGATATATGCAAATATATATTACATAAAGTTGAGGGAGCTTGGTATTCATGTACGAAAGGTGTCATATCTTCATTTAAACTACAGAATGAATTCATTTGGTGTTTCATCGCGGTTTTTAGCGTAAATTTGGGTATAAAGAATGAGCCACAACATTATTTTTTAAAGAGAAAGGTGTCGTCTTTTGCAGAGGCTGACATCCTCCCGCAACTTAAACTCCTCTTGTAGGATGTTATGAAATCAAAGCCGACACTGTACTGTTGAGGGCCATAGTCCAAAAATATTGTATAAAAGTTGGCCTTTTGCCTGAATTTGAAAACCTTGTGGTTCTATCTTTCTCACGACCTTTAAATTTTGTACCGGAGTGATAAATTGAATGCATTGTTTAAAACCATATGATAATTGTTATAAAATGTTTTTGAAGGAATTAGCTGAAACCACTAAATAAATGGAGACTTCGCGTGTAGAAGCTATTATTGTTTTTAAATATTCGAAATCCCTATATAATATCAAATATAGATGGAAAATTTGCCGGGAGGAAATTAATCCATGGAAGCAATGGTCGCCTCTCCCGTCAAAATAAGCGTCAGAAACTGACGCCATCTATTGACCGTCGCCGCAACTAGCGGCATCGGGTCGGTGACAAAGCCACAACACCAACTTTGGCAAACTGAAAAGCGTCCACCTAGAGACCATGGTTTCGGGCTAATGACCCTCGTCAGTCTAGGGCGGACTTTATTCCATGAGATCCACACGGGATCTAATGGAATCCTCACAATCTATCAGTTTGCCAAAGTTGGTGTTGTGGCTTTGTCACCGACCCGATGCCGCTAGTTGCGGCGACGGTCAATAGATGGCGTCAGTTTCTGACGTTTATTTTGACGGGAGAGGCGACCATTGCTTCCATGGATTAATTTCCTCCCGGCAAATTTTCCATCTATGTTTTGCCAATAGATTTGGCCCGGCCACATTGCCAGCAAAACACCTCTTTGGTAGATTGTGAGGATTCCATTAGATCCCGTGTGGATCTCATGGAATAAAGTTCGCCCTAGACTGACGAGGGCCATTAGCCCGAAACCATGGTCTCTAGGTGGACGCTTATCAGTTTGCCAAAGTTGGTGTTGTGGCTTTGTCACCGACCCGATGCCGCTAGTTGCGGCGACGGTCAATAGATGGCATCAGTTTCTGACGTTTATTTTGACGGGAGAGGCGACCATTGCTTCCATGAATATCAAATATGTAAATTATTGCTAATTGCTAACGCAATTTTAAAATATATATAATTAAAATATATTTATGAACACAGCTCTATTGTAGTATTAGATGAAATTTTTAATATAGGCTTCATATGTAACATTGTATTGGGATAAGGTGCATAAATTAAGAAAAAGGCATCTCCTTATCCGTGGTTAGCTTTTCTTGATTAATCAAGAATGGGTATTTGGCCAATTCTGGAATAATTAAAAATCAACGAGAATAGTTGATATTTATTCCGATAGATGGCGCCAGCCATCAGCAACTTTCAGTTGCACGATAAGGAGATTCCTTTTTCATAGGCTTCATATGTTAGGGATAGATGGAAATGGTGTTAATAGTTTTCTGTGGTATACGATGCTAAGATGATAATGACGATTTTCAGTATGTCTTATTAATTCTAGAGGATTGGTTCTTATATAAATTATATTTCTGGATTTTTGTGTGTTATTTCTCTTTTACTGAAATTCATCTTAAAATTAGCCAAAGATAGAGATGCCTTCTGGTCATCCATGGAGCCAATATGTCTCCATTATCCTTATTAACAGTTATTATCCCTTTTGCCTCACCATCCTTACTATTTACCTTTTTGCGTTTATATCTTTTTATAAAATTACTTTTGACTCTCCACACATAATTATTTTATTTCCATTTTCGGTTTGAATGGCGAAAACTGAATTTTGTTATAATTGCTAAATCGAATAATCCTAATATATCTGGCAACAAAAGTTTGTAATAATAGTATATATAATATCATAATACAATTTTAATGGATACTGGAGTATATCAAATTATTCACATCTATCTATATGAAATGTGTTAAAAGAGAAAGAGGATTATATAGGTTCAATTTAAGAGAATAAATACTCGCATTTGAGCATTAAATCTATTCCGAAAATGTGTAAAATTATAAATATTATGTGAAATTTATAATCCCATTAGTGTGTATATTTAAACGTTGAAATGTAAGAAGTCCCGCAATGTAAAGTCACTTCCAGAAATTCCAGAGAAATTCCACTGGCCGAGAGAACCGCTACAAAATGACTTGGAAGATTTTCGCAGTTGTTCGTCTTGAAATAAAAAAATCTTATCTCTTAGGTTTTCTTAAGTAGAGAGATATTGATCTGATTTCTTGGGTTTCTTTCGAAAGAAGTTCACCCTTTAAAATAAAATATTGAATAAAGATTAAATATTTTTCCGTCTCTCTCGGGCAAACTATGAGCGGGTTCTCTCGATCCCCGACCACTAACCGAGATGTGAATCCCCTTGGTGGCAACGGATGGATCGCTGCTATTTACTTCTCTTTGTAGGTGGCCATTTTGAATATATAAAATATATGACAAGTAAAATAATTATATATGTAATCTTTTTTTTTTCAAATATAAAAAATTATTTTCGTAATTATAAAATCAAAGCATTTAATCAATTTTATTGTAGATATTTATATATATGGGGGTGAGTGGAAGGCTGGGTAAACCGTTTGGTTTTCGACCACTAGGACCCGGGTTCGATTCCCGCATTGGGCACTTTTTTCTGTTAAAAAAAATGCTCCAATGGCCCCCGATTCTTGCAAAAGTCCAACCCCACCAGCGAATGCAAGTAACCAAACGGGGCTCTGGCATTTGTAAGTTCAAAGTCGAACTGCTTTTCACATGTGTAGACATGTGGTGCGCTTACAGTAAAAGCAGTCGCTAACTACCCACCATGATTCATGGCCTGTACCACGTGTACTAGGGATAAGCAAAAAAAAAAAATATATATATATATATATATATATATATATATATATAAATAATAAGACCATATTAGTTCCAAATTTATTAAAGAGAAATAAAAAGCCCACCAAAAAGAAGGTATATATCTTGAATTATCTTGGGGTATTTAGGAATTTGTGGCTCATATTTAACTGAATATCTAATATTTCAGAGAGAGAACAAATGTTTATTACATTTTAAAATGGCCTCTAAAAGAGATATTAAAACTTGCAATTTTTCCAAATAAACATTAACTGAATTATTCAATAGTAGTTTAAAATAGATTGCAACCTTCTAAAAAGCAAAGATTCTTTAAATCTCCTCAATCGAAGTAAAGATGCTTTGTGAAAAGATTACTTAATTTGTCCAATTGAGATTGGGTAAAAGGCGTGTGGACAATATGGTTACCAATTGTAAGAGATTGATTACTTAAGACTACATAGAAAGATGATGCGAAACATTTCATAGACAACAATACAAAAAGAAATTTCAAAAAGATGTCGAACATTCTCACATGCCGAAATATTAACCGACCTTCCTGAGATAATAGCTATTAATATTAGAGCAAATATCATGCTACGTATAATAAAAATCATAAAATTCTGATGTTACATTAATAAAAATGAAACATTCCCTTTCAATGTGAAAAATTAGTAAAAAATGTAATATTGTATTGAGATAAGGTGCATAAATCAAAAAGGAAATAAAGGCATATCCTTATCGTGCAACTGAAAGTTGCTGTGGCTTGAGGAATAACCATTTATCCCAATAAATATTAATTAACATCACATAAGAACAATAATCAAGTATGGGTATTTGGCCCATTCCGGAATCAAATAAATCAACGGATAGTTGATATTTATTCCTATAGAGATGTCGTCAGCCATCAGCAATGTTCAGTTGCATGATAAGGATATGCTTTGTTTCTTTCTTTATTCCATTTCAAGCCAATCTCCAAACACAAAAATAACGAAACACTGAAATTCAGACATCATAAAGAGATAGATGTCATAAGGAAAAAGCTGACTGAAAGCATAGCAACCCCTCTGTATTTACTTGAGATAGAAAGGATAATGACAGAATAGAAGAAATTATAGACCAAATACATAAATATATGAAAATACAATAGAAAAAATAAAAAATAATAAAAAGTCAGTTGTTGATATTAAAATAAAAAAGGCATATCCTGACCAGGAGCACATGTGCTTCACAGAAGGCAGAGCGCCATCTGGTGGAACAGAAATCAACTAAACATTGATTTAGCCTGTTCCCTGATATTTGACCAACCCAATTTCTTGATTTATCAAGAAGGTAAATGAAATTAAGAATGTCTTATTGCCGTAGTATCAGACTACTACTGATATATTATTAAACCGTTGAAATAAATATTATTTAAAATGTATTAATATACTGTTATTACAACTTACTACCTCCGAACTACGAGCAACTAGCAACGACTGTAGAACAACCTAGACCTAGAAGTTCTGACACCAAGTAGGTAGGCAGATGAAGGAGTTTTTATAGAGGAGTCACCAGGAGAGGTCACAGGAAGACTGTAGATAGTTCCAGAGTGTCTACTTCAGTGGATTATACAGTCGAGGTCCAGGAGAGCAGTAATTGTCACAAGACAATATTCAAATTATAACTATACAATATTTATTTCTATTATATTAGCATTTTAATATTATGAATAGGAATGTGTATATAGGCTTTCAATAAACTTCTCATTAAAATGTTTTAACTTGTGGAAAAATAAAGTTATTATTGATATAACCACACATATGATAATAATTAAACTAATATAATATCGAGATTCATATATTTATCCTTTTATTAAGTTAGGTATAAGAAATCCATAATTCACCTCCTAGAAATCTCTCAATCAAGAGATATTGCTTCCTCAATTTTAAATATGAAGGTTTCCAGTGCAGATAGAGAGAGAGAAGGAGCTTCACATTTCAGTGAATAATAAATTCCGTTGTTTCCAGAGCGTCGGTGTTGCTTTGAAATACTTCGTAATTAACTCCATTTTTTATCCGCAAAGTATATTTCTAGCAAATAAAAAGTAAAACAAATACACACTCTTCTTTGATTTATTTTCCCTATTATACCATTAAAATTGAGCTCCAAACTGATTCAATTTTAGAAATTTAAATAACCATTCAATATTATGCAAATTCCAAGTTTAAATCAGTCCAGTGCACTAGAAGGTTATTTGAAGAGTTAGCCTTTAAAATTACACTATCTCTCTCTCTCTCTTCCTGGAAAATAAAATAAAATATATGCGATTTTTTGGAGAGAACACAATATATATATATAGTGAATATGCTGTGGTGTGGCTTAATATAATGTTGCTTTGTGCTGCTAGATTGGTTGATTTATTTTTAATATATATTCAAATGTAAATATGCAAATATTCTGCACCATTTATTCGAACTATTTCTCACCATATAAAATACAGAAAGGTAAATTCAACTATATAGACAATGATTTATAAATATATATAAAGAACCGTTGGTGTTATATATCATCTATAGAAATTAAATTAAAAGGAATATAGAGAGATATTCATCAATTTATAATTAACATACACAAAGGCTTTATTTAGGGTTAGTCTTATACAGATTTTTCTTCTCAGCATCACAAAGCATAAAAGCAGTGAATAGAAAACAAGGTTGAAGGCATAAATATTCAACTGAATGCTAAATTCTATTATATATTATAGTATTTGATTCCATATACAATTTCGACCTGTAGGTGCAAGGTATTTATTAGACAGAATAGATTGGAAAGAAAAATGAATTATATAAATATATAATATATATGTGTTTTTTGAAAATAGAGCAATCTATAAATGAATCTTTATTTAAAAAGGCATATATTGGATCAAAATATCATTTATTTTACAAATATTTCAGTTGGCTGAACGCAAACCTTTATCAAGGTATTATAACATATTAATGTGTGTCAACAACAAACTCAGCGCCACAATGGCGCATTGGCACACATTAATATTGTTACGACTCTTCTCAGCCGTCGATGTTTGCGTGCAAGGTTTCTGAGAAGACAATGTGGGTTCGTTTTGGATACAGCTTAGTACTATAGATTTATTACCACAACTTTAAAAGGGATATTAATAACTATACATAGGAGATGAACTTGCCTTCAATGCCGCCCCAGGTAGGTTCCTCCTCGTCCTCCTCTTGTTAATCCACACAGTCTCGGAGCCCACTTCCTCCAGCCAACTTGCCGCGTCTGTCGTCACCGCCGTTCTCCTCGCTGCAGGTCCCGTTGTCACCAGACAGACTTCTCTCCCCAGACTGCCAGGTCTTCTCGGTGCACCAATCCCCGGCAGGCCGGCCGCCAACTCGGCTGATCCCTTCACGACCTCGGCGCCAGCTGGACTCCCTGTCTGCCACCCCCTCTCCTGGAATTTGTCAATCAACACTTCCTGGAAGGGGCCTCTGCATACCTTCTTCTCTTGGCCTGCCTTGCTCCACCGCTTCAATATGTTATAATATCTTGATAAAGGTTGGCGTTCAGCCAACTGAAATATTAGTAAAATAAATGATATTTTGATCCAATATATGCCTATTTAATTAAGTAAATATATGTGTGTGAAATATAAGAAAATAATTTTATATGAACAGCGTATTTACCCAAGTTTCGCCTTGAAAATCCATTTCTGAGGAAGCCTCTAGGATCAGATTTTGGTCGTAGAGGTACAGCTTGCCCCACACTGACGAGGGCCAACAGCCCGAAACGCGTACGTGGTTAGCTTTTCTTGATTTATTGAGAAAATGGGTTGGCCAAACATCACGGAACAAAGTAAAACAACGTATAGTTGATTTTTACCACTAGATGGCGCTCTGCCATCTGAAAACCTAATATGAGCGGCAGGATATGGCTTCTTTGTTAATAAATATGCGGGAAATGATACACTCATGTGATTATAAAGGTATATCTTCCTTCAATCGTGCATCAGAATAATGCATTATGATTATTATTCTAGTAATAAACTTTACTAGACGTGATAAAGAATGTGCCACGAAAATAGTTTTGGCCAATTCGGATGAAGGGCCAACCTGTTTAAAGGGAGAAGTGCCTTTTTAGATACTGAACATCACCCTCCCGCAACTTTGTGTTATATTTTAGCCTGAAAATAGGCCCTTGTCTCTTCACCTTCTTCAACACCTTTTTGGTAAATGCGATCGAATTTATAATAGGTCTCATAGGATGTTATGAAATCAAAGTCACCCCTGTACTGAGGCTATAGTTCAAAACTATGATATACAGGTTAGCCCTTTGTCTGAAATTACAAAAACTGGTATTGTGGTTCATTCTTTAATACCACTAGTAAATATTCTTACAGAGGTTGATGAGCATAATGCATCGTTCTGATCCATAATTAAAGAGAAAAGTGCCTCTATAGAAGCATATATGTGTAGCAAAGAAGGCACCTCTACAGTTAGATATGCATTAGAGCAATTCATAATGTTTGTCCTCCTGTAAAAACTTAAAGTCGATGATAAGGAATGAGCTACAACACCATTTTTTGACAAATTCAGAGTAAGGCCAATTTGTAAACCTTGGTGTCAGGCTTTTGCTCTCATTATCACAAGCGCAGCTTCAGTTTAATATTTTACTACAAGAGGAGTAATGAAATCTATTGAAGTTAACAAAAAGGTGCTTAAGATGAGGAAGTGTCAGAGACGAGTTTCAGGCTAGAATACAATATATAGTTGAGTCAGAATGTATTCATCTACCAATAG